TCAGAGTGATTTCTAGAATATTGGTATCCTGAGAAAATATTATTGCTTTTATGGGCATTTAGTGAAAAATGTTTGCAACTTACAATGTCCATCACTTTGTTTACACACAGAAATGATAGCATAAAAATGGTGACTCAGAACAGCTACATATTTCAGAAGAAATTTGAATGATAATAGGGCATGCTGTTAATGAAATGATGCAGTAGCAGTTGGAAAATGCCACAAAGAGCAACAAAAGGTGACGGCCGTGAGTCACCCAGGGGCGGTTATGTTTGTGAGTTCAGTGGAGTCAGAGCAATGTGAAACACTGTGTTCCTTTTTTCCTGCGATTTTTCAGTATCACAGAGTATGATACTAATCTACAGAGACATTTTTTTAAACTTAATGTTCCAAAAAGTGTTCTACATACTTTTATTGATTTTATATTCTTCTGTGCTGCTGTCATGAATTTCCACAAATGTTGTGTCTTAAAATGGTAAGAGTTTATTTCTTTATAGTTCTGGAGGCCAGAAAGCCAACATGAGTTAGGTATTACAAACATCGAAGTTCTGCCAAGGCTGATTCCTTCTGGCAGTTTCAAGGAGGAATCTGTCCTGCCTCTTCCCTGTTCCGTGGTTCCTGACTCCTCATGGCATTCCGGCATTCCTGCAGTCTCTGCATCCGTGACCCCACTGTCTTCTCCTTTTCTGCAGTGAAGGCCCTTTCACCTTGCTCGTGCTGTCATCCACATGGTCAAGGATAATAGTCACATCTCCATAACCTTGACTTAATCACACCTGGGAAGCACCTTCTGCCATGTAAGATGACAATTATACGTTCTAGCGTAGTCCTTCAAAAATAGTCATAAATCCATCATTCTGCTATAAGTGTATCCTGACATTGTAGACAGTGGCAGAGAGTCCAGCATCCTATCGTCAATAGTTTCATTGGGAGACCATTTTTGATTTGGAAGTAGAGATGCATACTTCATGTATCTTCATTTCTTGATATGAAGTCTGTTTCTCTGGATGACTATGTGTACACACATGTTTATCTATGTACCTACCGATGTTGAATTTTGTGTGAAGGTTGCCTTATATCAAAGAGAATACATGATATTTTGGGATTGGCTTATTTCACTGAGCATAATGGTCTGTAGTAGGGACCATTCTGTTGCGCATGGTAGAATTTCATGCTTTTTAATGGCTGTGTAGTATTCCATAGAGTATTTTCGTTATCCACTCCTCTTTTGACAGGCATCTGGGTTGTTTCCATGTCTTTGCTTGTAGATTGTGCTGCTGTAAGTATAGGATTACAGGTCACTTTCTCACATGCAGATTTCATTTTCTTTGGACATATTCCCAGAAATGGATAGGTAGGTCATATGGATCGATGATCCATATTGACTTCCTTAGTGATTGTACTAACCTGTACTCCCACCAAGAGTGTAGGAAGCATGTTGCAATTTCAAACCTATTTTCTGTCTCTTTGGATATGCCTATTCTGGACATCTCACAGAATTGGATTTGTATGGTATACGACAGCTTATGTTTGGCTTCTTTCACTGGGCATGCTGTCTTCACGATTCACCTACGTCACAGCATGAATCAGTACTGGGTTATATATGGGTTATATATATAGTGCTGAATAACAGTCTGTCATCTAGACATAGCACATTTGTTTATGTATTCACCATTTGATACATGTTAAGTTGCCCTCTCTCTTTTTTTTTGCTATTATAGACTATACTGTGATGATGATTCACTTAAAAATTTTACGTGAGCGTAGTTTTCTGCTTTTCTCAGGTGTTTTTTAGGCATAGAATTTCTGGTTCAAATTAAATTCTGTTTAACTTTTTTAGGAACTTCCAACTCACTATTTTTAGCTTCCTATGAATTTTTCCTCCTTCTGTGAAAACGTAGGGCACTGAGTCAGGGATTGGGGCAGTGGGTGCTGGTGTTCAGCTTCCGGTGTCTTTCCCAGAATTAATGTGAAGGATGTCTTCTTGAAAGCTCCTAACTTGGCATGAGAATGGAGGTGATCTAACCTGCAGAATACTTCATTTCAATTGTGTTTAGTAGATTTCAACGCTTTTCCTGTTTGGTCTTACAAAGAAATTGTGGAAAACTTTAGTTTTAGGAGACAGGAATAATTCCTCACTGGGATGTTATTTATATTTTGCTGTGCTAGTGGAACTATGAAGCTATTCAACAAACAAATACTTCCTTTACCGCTTAAAAAAAATCATAGAGAAATTGACACTAAATGTAGCACTAGTCATATATCCTTAAATAGAGGAAAGTATAAAAGTGATTTTTTTGCTAGCATAATTATTTTGAAAATGTGATGGCAAATGCAGACAAAGCTTCAGGAATGACATTTGCTTAGAAATTATAATTTTCTCTGTGAGAGTTGCTGACTCCTACCTGATGCAAACAAAAGAAAAGTTTGAATTTCTGTCTTATTGAAACATCTTCAGTCATATGTAAGAAGATCTTTTTAAAATGTATTTATTTGACAGACAGAGCAAAGGAGAGAGGGAGAAGGAGAGAGCAAGGGAGATCTTTCATCTGCTGGTTCACTCCCCAAATGCCCTAATGACTGAGGGCAGGCCAGGCCATTGCCAGAAGCCAGAAACTGCCCCAGCTCTCCAGGGTGCACATTGGGAGAAAGCTGTGTCCCAAACAGACGTGGCACGCGATCCCAGGCACTCCGATATGGGGTGCAGATGTTATCACACCTTAATATGCGGTCACAGTACCAGCTCCCTTTAGCTGAAATATTGATAATAAAACTCTAATTAGCTAAAATGATATCAGCAAAAATGGTTTAGCATGATATATCTGTCTCAAGTGATATACAATGTGTAATTATAGGGAGGTTTAGAATTAAAATATTTGAGAACTAAACTTGGGATTAATAGTTTTGGGGCTTAAGAATCAGTACATATTTATTTTATATACTCAGAATGTAGCCTGTTAAAATAATATATCAGTCTTATACTCTCATTTTTAAATTTGTAATTAACTTGTTATTGTGATTGTTAAATAGAAATCTTACCAAATTTGTGTATATTATGAATATTTATTCAAAATCTTTAGTTACCATATTCATACATTTAGCTTATATAATTTGTAAAGATTATTTTTAAGCACTTGAGAACTTTTGTGATATATGTGAACTGTCTAAAGTAAACAAATGTCTCAGGGTGTTAACTAAGTCTATAAATGGAGCCAAATACTCCAGACTCTTAAAAATAATTTTTGGTTGAATACTAGACATTATAAATATGATGTTAAGTGCTTGATTGTTTTTTCTTTACAGAATGCTGGATTTTGTTCTTGTAGGCAGTTGTGTGGGGGTTAGTTTGAGCTTTATAAATCTGCTTTAAAGTTTCATTGGGATAGATCTTAGTGCAGACATGACTCTAGGGCTAGCCCTGCTGCTACGATGTGACTCTTCTGGGGTCTCTACTGAATGCTCTCAGTGTTCCAAACGACTTCTCTGTAGAGGGTTGGATCTTGCTCCAATGACTTCCAGCCTTTTGTAAACCTGGGGAATTTTTCAGTTTATAAGTCCTTGATTATTCTTGGCCTAGACTTGTGGAACTTACCCTATGCTTACATAGGTTAGCATTCAGCTCTCAAACTCTTTCTCTGATGGATTCTTTTCCAATATTTTACCCTGTAAATTCCTGTTGCTTTAGCCTACGGACCTGCCAGTTTTCCATCCCTGAGCAAATGATCTCTGTGTGCCTTTTGTTACAAACCTGGGGCTGCTGTAAGGCTTATCTCATTTATTTTCCTTTTCCTAGGAATCATGGTCTTGCATTGTCAGTTTTCTAGTATCTGAAAATAGAGATACAAACACACTCATGTAAATCTTCTAGTCATTTCTGAAAGCACATTTAAAAATTTGCTATAATATTGTATACATCATTTGTATAAGCAAGACAAATGGCAGAGACCAAAATCAGTGAGGCATAGAAGTATATGAATGCTCTGTCTAGAGGACAGCATAATGAAAATAGGAAAGGAATATGGAATTATCAAAATAGACCATCTGCCACAGAGAAGTGCAACAGAGTCCTGACAGTCTGTTACCCAACTGGTTCCCAAATTGCAAGGTGTTATTAATACTAATAGCAATAATGATGATGAAGCCAGGGGTGGTGATAACTATGTTACCAGTGCACTATCTTAGCTGATCTACATGTTTGCATATTTAATTTACATAAAATTTGTACTGTTATGAATGCATTTCATGGATGGAGAAAGTGAAGATGAGCAAAGTAAAATGTCTTGTCCAAGATAAGTTGTAACACTCAGATAATAACACTAGGTATTGTAGCCAAATTATAGTTGGCACGCTGTTCTATGTTCCCTCTTAGTGCATTAAGGATTCAGAGTAGTAGTTATGTAGTGAAGAAATAAGTTTTTTTGAGCCTCGTTTTTCACCTTCTCTTTGGTGCTTGGGTAGTTATTATCAGTCCATAGGCCAGTGTTGTAGGAATGTCAGGACCGGAAGATCCCTGGGACTCGATTGCTGATGCCACGCAGTTCTGTTTGACTGTGGAGCTGAGCATTTCTGTCATCATCCAACTCTTCCTGCTTCTTCACTGTGTTCCAAAGCAAGCTTCAGTTTCTTCATAAAGTGGAAATGACGGTATTTGTTTTATGGATAATGAAGTGAGATGACAAATTCAAAGCATCCAGTCTGGTGCTTGATAAATAGGGGACGAATGTGAGCTTATGTTTACTGTTGTTGTTCTTGCTACTGCTATTCCAGTGAAAGTCACATATAGCAAATATTTGTTGAATTAACTTGCTGGTTTTTAATCAGAATATTTAATATTCTCTCCTTATTTACATTTCTCAACGTCTTTGAACTTTATAGAAAAAATGGAGCATGCCTCCATGTCTGATGGCATCATTTCATCTGATAACTGTTACTTGTGGTAATTTACATGTCCCACAAGGAATGATGAGCAATTAAAATGTTGTTTCTTCTTTTCATTTTAGAGAACTATTACTTCGTTTCTCCGTTAGTTGGTGTGTTTTTCTTAGCGCTCACTCCTATCTGGATTATAATAGCTGCCAAGCATCCAGCCACAAGGACAGTTCTCCATTCAGGCTGGGAGCCTGTCATCACGGCGATGGTTATCAGCAGGTTGGTATTGAAGTGTATGAGCATTCCATATATGTGCGTAGTTGTATTCCTTGGTTTAATCATTTTATGAGGCCATGTGCTGCTCACTGCAGTGGTAAGGAATGTGACAGCAGTTACTGAAATCAATGCAAGCAGAAATTCTTTGGAGATACCCAGTCTCAGAATTCTCTCCAACCAAAGCCTCACAACCCTGATGAATGAAATTCAGTTGTGTTGTGTGTATGTATAGTCTATGATAACATTCCATATTTTTAATAATCTGTTGTCCAGATAAGCATAAGCCTTTTATCTATTTTCATGTCAGTATTCTGACAGACTTTTTAAAAATACACATGTTAAAAAATTTCTGGGATGGAACTGAGAAGGTATTGGACAAAGGATATGGATTTTTAAAATCAATTTTCCATCACAATTTTATTAACAGTAAGCAATCAACCAGTCTCACAATTTTATTTAGAATGCAGGTGCAAATATCTGGCTGAGATTTTTTTTTTCGGTCCAAATAAAAATTTGTAAACCAGCCATGCTTCTAATAGGTTTTTGAATTGATGAGCTGATTTACTTGTGAGATAAGTCTCCGAAAATTTTCTTTCTTTTCCCCTCTGTACATTCATTTAAAAAATTTTTTATTTGAAATTTTGAATTTTATGGTACAAGGGTATGAAATTTCATCTAGACAAGAAAAATAAGTCCTGGAGGTATGTTGTACAATATAGTAGCTATAATTAATACCTTCTTGAAAATTACTGAGAAGGGCATAGCATGATGGCTCAATGGCTAAATCCTCACTTTGCAAGCACTGAGATCCCATATGGGTGCTGGTTCATGACCCAGCTGCTCCACTTCCCATCCAGCTCCTGCTTGTGGCCTGGGAAAGCAAAGCCTGGGGACCTGCAGCCATGTGAGAGACCTGGAAGAAGCTCCTGGCTCCTGCCTGTTGTGGCCATTTGGGGAGTGAATCAGAGGATGGGAGATCTTTCTCCATCTCTCCTTTGTTCTGTAAATATGATCTGCCTTTCCAATAAAAATAAATAAAATCTCTTAAAAAAAAGAAAGACGGGCCCAGTGCGATAGCATAGTGGTTAAAGTCCTCGCCTTCAATGCACCGAGATCCCATATGGGCGCTGGTTCTAATCCCAGCGGCCCCGCTTCCCATCCAGCTCCCTGCTTGTGGCCTGGGAAAGCAATGGAGGATGGCCTAAAGCCTTGTGACCCTGCACCCACGTGGGAGACCCAGTTGCTGCCGCTTGGGGAGTGAACCAATGGGTGGAAGATATTCCTCTCTGTTTCTCCTCCTCTCTGTATATCCACCTTTCCAATAAATAAATAAATATTTTTTTAAAAAAGAAAGAAAGAAAACTACTGAGAAGTATTCTCACCACAGTGGGAAAAATATCAAGTAATGTACATGCTAACTAGCTTAGTTAATCATTTCATTGTGTATTACATATACATATGCAATTTGCCAATTTAAATAAATGAATTATGTATAAGTAAAAGGATATCAAGCTTCATTGAGACATTGAGAATGTATGGTTTGCCACGGCATGAGTTAGTTGCCTTTTTATAGATACATGCATGTATGTATTTGAAAGGCAGAATTACAGAGAGAGGAGGGAAGATACACATACACACACACACGGGACACAGAGAGAGAGAGAGATACAGAGAGAGAGAGAGAGAGATTGATTTCATCTGTTGGCCTCCTTGCCAGGGCTCAGACAAAGCAGGAGTCAGAAGGTGGCAGGGAACTAAGCACTTGGGGTCTTCTCTTGCCTTTCCAGGGGTTTTAGCAGTGATACGGACTGGAAATGGAGGAGCCAGGACTCAAACCAGCGTCCAGATGGGATGGTAGTATTGCAGGTGTTGACAACCCATTGTGCCACAAGATCAGCTCCTTTTGTGACTATAGCTAATTATTTTAATTTGCCAGTGGCAAGACACACCCTAGTTGTATCTTGTTGTAGCACATCAGTCATCCTTCTAATGCTTTTACTTCAAATATGAAAAGATACTCTTTTAAAAATTATATTTAAAAGTATAAGAATACTGGATGACATAGTTCTAAAAATCCATAAATTCTGAATAATGTAAAATGACTTTCAAACCCCTGTATTTTCAAACTTACATGGTGAGTAATTTACTGTATGTTCTTCTGACCCTTATAAAGATTTATTTTTATTGGAAAAGCAGATTTAGAGAGAGAAGGAAAGACAGAGATCTTCTGTCCACTGGTTCACTCCCCAAATGGCCACAAGGACCAGAGCTGAGCTAGGCTGAAGTCAGGAGCCGGGAGCCTCCTCTGGGTCTCTCACATGGGTGCAGGATCCCAAGGCCTTGGACCATCGTCTACTGCTTTCACAACCCGCAAGGAGGGACCTGGACTCAAAGTGAAGCAACTGGAACTAGAACTGGCACCCATATGGAATGCTGGCACTGCAGGTGGAGGACTAACTTCTTTCCAGATATTTTAATGCGTTTAAAACATATTTTCTCTTACTTTTACAAAGATCATATCTTGGGGATTAAAGTCCTGGAATCTGGAGCTGTTGCTTAAGCCATGTGTTATTTTTCTGTAAAGTAAGGATATCTGTATGTCCAGAAGAACTCCAAGTGCATTCTCTTTCCTCTTTTGAAATGATCTCATTTTGTATCTTTCAGCATTGGGGGCCTTATTCTGGATACAACTGTATCTGATCCAAACTTGGTTGGAATTGTTGTTTACACACCTGTTATTAATGGTAAGAGTTAGATGCAGCTTTCATGATGATATCCAATGTGCCCAGTGCTTGTGACGATTTAAGGAGTAAATCAACAGATGGACAATCTATCTCTCTTTCTCCCCAGATGTGTGTGCATATATGTAAATGTATATATGCACACATGTACATATATGTATATACCTATGTAGATATCTATATAGACCTCTATATCTGTAGCTAACTAGCTACGTAGAGATAGATACAGTTACGTAAGAGTTCAAACTTTCAAATAAAAACATGTTAAAAAAAAGAGGTGGTGGTGGGGATTTTTGAGCCTGAATTAGAGGCCCTGATGTGGTACCCAGCAGTTGCTTCTGAAACAATTGTCGCTCAATATCTGAGGGGAATTGTATCCAGGACCCTCTGCATATTTAAAAAAAAATTGTGTACATGTTGAAGTACCTTGTTGAAACTGTGCTGTTTCTATTTAATGTGCCCATGTGCTCATGTACTTATCATCTGTAGATTATTTATGATGCCCCAGCTCATGTAAAGACAATGTAAAGTCTATATAGAAGTTATTACACTGTGTTGTTTAGGGAAAAAGGACAAGAACAAAAAATTCCATGTTCAGTACAGGAATAATTTTTTCTTTCCAAGTAGTTGTTTTTAAAAAGATTTATTCATGTATTTGAAAGGAAGAGTTACACATATAGAAGGATAAGCACACACACATGAAGACCAAAGCCAAGATCCTGGAACCCGAGTTTGATTCTCATGTGAGTGGCAATGACCTGAACACTAGAGGCATCTGCTTCTTTCCCAGGCACATTAGCAGGGAGCTCCATCAAAAGAGGAGTATCCAGGGCTTAAACCAGTGTTCACATGAATGCCAGTGTCACAGACAGTGGCTTAAGCTGTTGTGCCACCATGCTAGCCCTTTACCAAGTATTTTTGATCTGCAGAAAGCATGGGTAAGCAGGATTGAATATGCATACAACGTTTGAGAACCACTTCTTGCCATCTGGCTTCAGCTTTCTAACTCTCTAGACTTGACACATGCATTTCTTTCCTGATCCATACTTGGAATTGAATATTTGCATGTGAAAGACTACACTCCTGGGTGAACTCATTGTCTTCTCTTAAATGTCTTTCTCCTCCTGTGTCAGTTAATCGTATTATCTACCCAGGATCCCAAACAAGACATCCCAAAGCCACACACTCCCTCTCTCTTATAATCTCTACTCTGATTCTTGAAGTAACTTGTGAATTAGTCTCAACACTTTGTCACTCCTGGTTGTGTTTATCATCTCTCCTGATACAACTCCATAAATTTGCCTCCCTGCCCCATTTCTTACCCTTTACTTCTCTGTCCTGCATAAGGCCAACAGTTATTTTTTATCCTAACAAAGCAGATTCTACCCCCGGTTGCTTAAAAATCACAGTTAGCTTTTAATTTCCTAGTGGATAGGTATAAATTATTTACCATCATGTATTGAACCCAACCTGCTCTAAAGTCTGCTTCTTTTAGTCTCATTTCCCCAACACTCCATTAATTTCAAAGTTCTCATTTTGAATTTTTTATGATTTCTCAAATACATTGTGTTGTTCTGTGCCCCATGTCTTTGCACCTGCTGTTCTCTCTGCTGTCTTATTTCCCTTTTCTTGCTTACAAAATTCTGCTCATTTATCCAGACCCAATTAAAATGTCACCTCTTTTGCAAAGTAGATACTTAGGCAGAATACTTTGAGCAGTTTTATTATAATATGTATTGAGTTTGTATGATAATTTTCTTTCTCTTTTGACTCTGAATAGTGCCTGCCACATTTCAAGATGTCGTAATTGTCAGATGAATAAATGCATAACTTAAGCTACATACTTAGTATTACTGCAAACTAGGTGTCACAGAGTCTGAGAAATTGTCTTTAAATAACACTTCCTAGACTGTAAACAAAAATGTTCATATACTTCAGTGAGTACTGGTGAGGTTCATTTAAAAAGCAAAAATAGAAAATGGGTTTCTCCTGTTTGTATAAAAAAAATTGACTCTGGTGGCAACATTTACTACTTTTCTTAATGATTTATCCTTCTTGTAGCTAGAGATTGGAATTAATTTCTCATTATTTTCACCTCTGTGGCTGTATCCGCAAAGCCCATTTGCTAGGAGCAAGTATTTGCATGAGAGTTCTGATGTTAAAGGAGAGTTAGGAACAGCCCATGAGATGCCACTTGGAGCACCACGTTGCCTGTCCTGGTGCCTGGGTTCTTGTCCAGGCTCCACTCTGTTTCCAGCTTCCTGCCATTGCTCACCCTGAAAGCGGTGGAATCGCTCAAGGGCTTTGTCCCCAACACCAGGTGGGAGACTTGGATTGAGTTCAGGGTTCGGGCTTAACCTGGCCCTGTCCCAGCTGTTGACAGCAAATGCGGGATGATCAGAGAACGAAGGATTCATCTCCATTTTTCTCTTTCTCTCTGCCTTTCAGATAACTAAAAGTAAATAATGTTTATTTTAAGAGAATGATTGATATGGGTTCATTAAAGTAAAAATATGTTTATAAAAAAAACCAGAGAAGGTTAAAGAAAAGATCCATGAAGTAAATATTTTGTAGGCAAAAGGATAATTCAAGAGGGACCATTTACTCAGTAATTAGGAAATCATGTTATTGTTCAATTGAGCTGCAGGCTAAGTAAATAAGGATATAATGTTAGAATACTATGAACAATAAAACGAATGAATTATTTATCACACAGATGATAGCCAGGATGACTCTTAAGAAAGCAATATATGATAAAGTATTTCAATGGAGTACAAAAGCATGAAAGTTGCCATGATACTTAAGAATGCAAATGTGTGCTGTAGTAAGCCAGAGGAAAGTGAGGGAAATGAACACAGAGAAGGGGAAGCAGGTGGAAGGGTTTGGGGTTGAGGAGGAGCACATGGAGCACTTCAGATGTTAATGTGATATTCTTCTCCTTAAACGGAAGCAGGAATACACACGTTTATTCGCATGCAACAAAAATTGGAATTGGTGCATACAAGCATTGAAAATGTTTGTGAAAAGCAGGTAGTATGAAGAAACTGACGGCAGCTGATGTGGTGCGGAGAGCTAAGCTGTTGCTGGGTAGACTGACAGTCCACGTGGGAACATTGCTTCCAGTCCTGGCTACTCTGCTTCCAGCCCTGTGCTGATGGGTCTGGGAAGCAGCAGACAAGCATTCAATGCCTGAGTCCCGTCAAGTGGGAGCCCTGGGTGGAGTTCCTAGGTCCTCACTTCAGCCTAGTCCAGTCCCAACTTAAAGTCAGCCAGCAGATGAAAAAGCTCATTCTTTGTCTCTCCCTGTCTGTCTGTTTCTTTCTGTCACTGTGCTTTACAAATAAATAGGTACATATTTTAAATGTTTATTTATTTTTTTTAACTTTTATTTTTGAAATTTATCGTACAATTCTGTATAGTCTGGGATTCCCCTACCCCCAACTTCCACCCCCCGTTTGATTTTTCCCATAATGTCATAACTCTTCATAAGGAATTACAATTCCATCAGTCTGCTATTTAAATGTGCCCTGACATTGCTGGTACAGACAGTGTCAGTCCATCATCCCATTGTCTAGATATGTCCAACACTTTCATTAGGAGTCCATCTTTTGTTTGGAAACGGAGATTTGTGTTGCATTTGATATATCTTTTTTTTTTTAATGAAGAAATGTTTGAATTCATAGTATGCATTTTCCAATGAACTTTTTGAAAACATTTTATATACATAGATTCTAAATCTTTTTTGCACCAAAATGAACATACCTTTTTTTTTTAAATTAATTTTTTTTTTTATTGTTGCTTACATTGTATTATGTAGTACAGTTTTATAGGCGCTGGGGATTCCCCCCACCCCTCCCATACCCCTCCCCCCATGGTGGATTCCTCCACCTGAACATACCTTTTAATTCTACTTTTCCACAAACTTTTAGAAGTACCCTTATATTTTTCTATCTACTAAATACTTAGTATAACAACTAAAATCTTAAAGGAGCACTTTTAGAGTCCTTATGAAGTGACTGATAGTGAAGATAAATTAATGTTGGAAGTTCTGAGGCCAGAAGTGCAAATGAGAAACCTTTTCTAAGATGAGAGATGTGAATATGTATGCTGGCAAGGAGGCAAAGGAAGAACAGAGAGAAAGACTAAGGATGTGTAAAAGATGGGGAATTATGATGGAGCAAGGTCCTTGAAATGATGGGTTGCAAAATATCCTGGGGAAGAAAGGATCCACCTTACTTCAATGTGCCGAGGAATCCTGAAGAGCAAGAAGTATAAATACAGAGATCTGAGGATGGGGGGATGAGAACAAAATGAAGGGGCATGCAACTGACAGCTTCAGTCCTCTCAGAAAGGCAGATAGAGTCATAGCTCTAGGGCAGTGTTTCCCAACCTTCTTCAAGTTGGCAATAAATGACACAGTAGACAGAAGAAAGCAGCCACTTGTCACCAGAGGCAACCAGCTTCGAGTTGCAGTCATGCCAAGTTCTTAGATCACGGCCTCGACACCACAGTAACTCATCTGAAACTTTCTAGTTTTGAAGTTCTTGTCTAGGTCACTCACTTGCAACCTTTTTTCTTTCCATTATCACCTTCTCAAGGAGCCATTTTAAACAGTTTTCTCACTGCCCATGCCCATCCATGAAGCTTAATATCATGGATACACTATTTAACTCCACATACTGGGTAAATCTGTGTTTTATACATAAAACAATTGTGAGCCCCCTCAGCCCCCCAAAACCAGTTTTTGCCTCTATTAAGAATACATGATCAAGGGGAAGGGGAATTTGGAGGCTTGGAGTCGTTCACCGTCTTATCTGCCAGTGCAGAGGAAGGAAGAGGTGGAGCTGATGGGTAGGGCCTTGCTTAGACGAAAGAGTCTTGGTTAAAGGGGTTCTACGTATTGCTCTGAAAATATGGAAATACGGAAGACAGATCTCTTCCATCATTTTGTGTTTCTTGAGACTGAAAGAGTAATTACTGCGTGTGAGTTCTGAGGAAGGTGG